GCCTGTGGTGGCTGGGTGTGAACGCCCTCCTCGCAGCTGTCCTGTTTCGCGGTGCTTGGGGAGGTGAGTTGGTGGAGGGGTGTTCTTGCGGCGGTGACTGTGTGTGGAAGTCGCGGTAAAATGTGGCAGCGGGGCTTTGTCTAGCTCCAAAAGGAACTGACTGCGACCAAGGCGTATTAGCCGCCAGACCCGGCGATCCAGGCGCAGGGTGGATCCGGTGAGCTGCAAGGCGCGTTCCGTTGGCGGGCTGTTGTCGGTTACCAAGCCTGGCTGCTGTTGCCCGTGCCCCTGACTTGCAATCTTCGCTCCGATTCTGGGACGATGCACGGTTGCCCGGGACCCACGGTTCTGCGGCGTCGTCTTGAGTCGTCTGCTTGGTGTTGGTTGCTTGGTAACTGGAGGCGGCTGCTGTGCTGAGGGTAGGTGCAGTGGGAGTGTTGGCGTCAGGGGTTTGGGCATGCGCAGCTCTTTGTTGGGTGGCCTGCGCAATCGCTGCGCTGGTTGTCTGTGTTGTGTTGGGCCTGCGCTTGTTGTTGCTTGTACTCTGCTATGAAACTCGCTTGCTGCTGTTGTTGCTCGCGCGCGGTTTGTCGCCCCCACCTCCTGGGTTTGTCTGCTTCGGCGCTGCTAGCTGCTGCAGAGGGGTTGCTTCCGGTACAGGGAATGTACCTGGCCCGCCCAACGTAGGTGGCTTGCTTGCGTACAGTCCCTTTGGTAGCGCGTGGATTCTTGGTTCTTGCTGTGCTCTAGCGGTTGTTGCGCTGGCTGTGCGTCTGTGTGGGTTGTTGTTGCTTGTGCTGGGTTCGGCTGGTGAGGTGGTTGCGGTTGCGGTGGTTTGGGGTGTTCCAGCGGCTGTGGAGGAGGCCGCTGCTGTTTGTGGTTGTCGTTACGGTGTGGCTTTGGCGGGTGCTTTTGTCTCTGTTCGGCACGCGGCGGCAGACGCTGCTTTGGCTTGTGCGGGAGTGCGTTGTTTAGCCGCCGCTGTGGATGTGGGTTGTTGTGGTGGTTGTTGCGGTTGTCTGCGTGTCGCTGCTGCTGCTGCGGCTGCCTGCTGCTGCGGCTGCTGCTGCTGCTGCTGCTGCTGCTGCTTCTGCCGCTTCCACGCGTGATGGGTAGATGCGCTGGTGGCTTGCAGTGGGGTTGTTGTCAGCAGGCGCTGCTGCGCTGGGCTCTCCTGTGTCTGCCCCTGTTGCTGTTGTCGTCTCTGGTGGTGTGTTTTTGTTCTCTGTTGCTTGAGGTTGCTGCTGAAGCTGGTCCCTCTACCAGGGTCGGTTGCGTGGCTGGCGCACGTCTTGGTGGTCTGTGTCCCATCCCCCTCTGTTCCACGCCCAGGTTGCCCAGGTCTCCGCGACGGTTGCTGGCGTTGAGGTGTTGGCGTTTTGCTGCTGCTGCTGCTGCTGCGTCAACTGTTGGCTCAGTTGGACGGGTCTCTTCCCTAGGTTGTCGGCTTGAGTCGGAGCTGCGGCAAGTCAAGGACTTTCACGCAGTTACTCCCAGCAATCCCAAAACAGCACACGCTGCGCAACGCTCGCCCTCATGCTCCTATGTCTTACGCGAGGTTTTGCCAGCTGAGGCGAACTATGTATCGCTCCACGTCCAGGAAGGCGTTGTAGTGTGCTGCGTGTCTGGACTCTCTGCTGAGTGATTGTTGTTGCTTCCACCATTGAAGGTTGCGCCAGGTGAGCGCTTCTTGTCTGGGCGCGCTTGCACCTGGCTGCATATGCGACCCTGTAGCCTCCAGACCGATTGTAGTATGTGGCTGGACCAGCAGGGTTGGTGACGCTTGTAAACCGCAAGTCTTGCCTGTCTGATTTGCCTCTGGTAATGTTCTGCGCTGGTCTCCCCCCGCTGGTGGACCACAAGTATGCGTCGTCCATGAATTGGCCCCCTTCATGGAGCGGTCCCGGTTGGCCCTGAACTGGCGGAGGTTGGGATTGGGACATCGGGGTGTTCTCCAACACTTGACCTGCCTTGAGGGCAAATAAAATGGGGAGGCAGGGCTGCCTTGTCGAACTCCATTGGTTTGTTGGACGGGCGTTGGTTTGGTGGTGCTCGGATCACATTGAGCCCTTGGCCGAGTATGATTTCCATCCACACCTTGAGGATCCACAGCTCCTGGGGCTGGTTGGCTTGCCTCGCTTGCTGGATTGCCTGTGTGAGTCTGGTGAACATGGGTTCGCTCTCATTGTCTTGAGGCTTGTAAGAGTTAACCAGGTACCCACGCCAAGCCCCTCCCTTAAGAGGGGGGGGTGGGGGGGAAGAAATAGTTCAGAACTATTTCCGACATGGATAAGGTAGTGGGGGGGTAGGCCTGGGGGGGTCGACCACCTATAATAGTTGCGTAGGGTAGAGTTACTAGAAGAGGCACCGCTTTTATGTTATTGCTTGGAAGCTCTACAGAACACGTAGAACATCGTAGAACGTGGTACTGACAGTAGAAGAGGCATCATTTTTAGGTCGCTTGGGAGGGGTTACCCACCTTTTTTAGTGGCTCTCCTACTACGAATCCACCAAGACCCCCCCCCTCCCCCCGATTTTTACGAATACTCAAGCTCCCGATTGGTGCCTTTGGTATTGCTTGGAAGCTCTACAGGACACGTACAACGTGGTAGCGATAGTGGAAGAGGCATCATTTTTAGGTCGCTTGGGAGGGGGTTACCCACCTTTTTAGTGGCTCTCCTACTACGAACCCACCAAGACCCCCCTCCTTCGAATACTCAGGCTCCCAATTAGGCTATTGCTTGGACGCTCTATAGAATTCTAGGAAACACATCACTTCGTAATCTTTGAGACGTTTTGAGACAACGATACGACAACTGGCAGGATCAACAGGTTGAATCTCCCTCACGCAACTTTGAAGCAGCACTGGCAGAGGCTAACACAATCATGATCGCATCCGATCTAGGATCCCACGCCGAAGGCCAGGAACAAAAGCATCCTGCATGTCAATGTCCAGTTCGAGGCTGTTGCACCTTTGTTTGGCCAGGTGCATTGTGGTGGCTGCTTCTTAGTCGTCAACCCACCCTCCCATGATAAGGGCCTGTTTCCTGTCCTCTGTTGGTGGTGGAATTTGCTCTGGGAGGGGTTGGCTGTGCTTCCAACTTCTCCAACCTCTGCCTGATGTTTTGAAAAGCGTCGACAGTGTATTGGTAATGGCCGTGAGGGGGTTGACCTGTTCCTTCATTCTGTCTGTAAAGGCGGTCTCCACCTGAGCAATCCTTGTCTCCACTGTTCCCACCTTTGCGATCAATGGTTGGATTGCGTTGGGAACATTTCCAGGGTGAGTGGAATGCCTTCTGAGTTGACATGGTTGGGACTGGGGCAGTGTCGTTTGGTCCCAGAACTGTCTGCATCAATCTCTATAGTATAGGCATTGAAGGTGCTGGCCTGTTGGTTGCCATGTTGGTTGTGGCTGGCGCAATGGTGTCCTTGCAAGGGTCGCTATCTGGTTGTCAGAGTCTACAGTCTCCCAGTGCAGTGGATGGCCAAGAGGTCAATGTAGGGGTTGGCAAGCACTGGGTGGTAGGGCAGTTGTGCAGCAACTGACACCGTGCAGGACTGATCAAGTATAGGTTGGTGCTCTGAAGGTCGATGGTGAAGTCGCGTAGTGCAACAAACTTGGCCAGGTTCAAGATTGCTGTTGACTACCCAGGGAGAGAAGGATACGAGATGTTCCCTCTCTACAGCCCACACTTGCACAAAGGTAGGGGGGAGACTACCTGCAAGGCACACTGAGTGTGCAAGGGGGCTTGATGTGGTAGTGGCTTGATCCTCTCTCCTCTCTCCTCTCCCCTCTCTCCTCTCTCCTCTCTCCTCTCCTCGCGTCTCTCCCTTCCCTCCTCTCCCCTCTGCACTCTCTTCTATCATCTCTCCTATCTCCTCTCCTTTTCAGAGGCGAGTGCAAAAGAAAGTGACAACTGTTCTGCGTTTCGCGACCAGGACCCGCCGATCCCTGCGACTGTTGACACTTTTGAGACGTGAGGACCAAACGCAAGTTCAACAGTGACGACTGTTCTGCGGTTCGCGACCATGACCCCCCCGATCCATGATGATCCATGTGACTGTTGACAGTTTTGAGACGTAAGGACCAAACGCAAGTCCAAAAGTGACGACTGTTCTGCCGGTCGCGACCAGGAGCCCCCGATCCCTGTGACTGTTGAAAATGTTTAACGCAAAAAAAAGGAGCAAGTCCAAAATTGATGACAATTCTGCGTTTCATGACCATTTCAACTGGCAATCGTGCGCGACGCTCGCGGACGAGTGCGAACGCTTTACGAACGTTTTGCAAACACAAACGCAACGACTTTCGGTCACCTCCTGGTCCCCTAAACCCCAACCTTAAAACGGGAACCCTTCTGCGGAGCATTCGGGAAAAGCCTTTGCAAGGGATTCAACCAAAGCAGTCGGGCCGAAGCATACAGAATATGCTAGAGAAGTGCCTGCTAGCAAAAAAAGCCAAAGCATTAAGCCTCCTGGATGTGCCTCGTCTGAAGGATGTCTTGTCTTGCCTGGACTTTCTCCACAAACTGTTACCTGTTGCTTTCTTGCAGTTGTTTCAAAGAAGAAGCAAAGACAAATCGGCCTCGTGCCAGCTCGGAAGTCTGTACGCATCAATTGGTGGGTTAGTCCGGTCTGTCCAAGCTTCTGCTGTCTTTCACTTATCTTTCTAATCGCCTGGATTTTTTTAATCTCTGCACGATCTTGGCCCACCCGAGGCAAAAGACGAGTGTGCCACTTGACGTCGCATCTTTTAGCTGTGAGGCTTCTGATGGCTTTCACACATGTGCATGCCAGGGCCGTAAACTGACCTTGCAGCAGATCCTGGATGAAGTTTGATGCAGGCTTTCACAAAAATCTTCAGCATGAAGGAGCATGATTATCCTTCTTCTCCGATCTTTTGGAAAACCCCCAAGCAACAGGCCTGGGTACAGGATAGCTCTCCTGCAAATGACAGCTTGGAACGGGCAGCTGGCCAGTGATGCGCTAAGCGGTCCTGCCAGCTAAAATGTCCAAGAACCCAGCATCGTCTGACGTTTGAGTCGACGACCTTGCTCCAGCTTGGTACTCTGAAAGTTCGGGTGGCGTGCTGTCAGCCTGCGCTGGAACGTCCGTCAAAGAAGGCGAGCGCCTGCTCTTCGCTCATGAAGTAACCTGCTCAAAAGGCCCAAGTCACACCTGGCACTCCATGCTTTGACCAGCACCTTGCTCGAACCACCGCCCCACTTGCTGAGCAGCACTGAGGCCTGGATCCTGGGAATGACTAGAAGGAGTCGGCTCTCTGACAAGACCCGACAGGGTTCCGGCCCACTCGTAGGAAATGGGAGCATCAGCTGCCTGACCATGAAAATCATGAAACAGACATTTCTAAACACATAGGCATGTGATTTGAGAGTCTGCTTTCTGCATATCTGAGCCTCCTCATTGACAGTACTGTTTTTGGGAAAGCAGCGGCCACTCACTGGGCAAACGAGAAAGTCGTCAGCAGAAGCAACCTAAGCTGTGATGTTTTGACAAGAAGCTATGAGTGCCAACTAAGGAGGCTCAGTTGGCCTTTTCGCTCTCCACAGATTCTATCAAGCTTTAGTCTCCACGCTGCAAAAAAGGCGGCCCAGACACACAGCAGGCACAGGGCACGCTTTCGCAAACATGCAAAGCGCCACTTGCCTGCCCCAAAGAAACAGGCGAAAACAAAGTGCTACACAGTGTTCATAAGTAGATGATGAAGATTGCCGTGCCTCACAGAGAAATGCATCAGCCTCCTCAAACTGAAGACGATGGAACCTTCTGAAAAAGTGGCACCACCATGCACGTGCCAAATACACGTTGGCTGCCTGCAGTGTTTCGTGCAACAATGTGATGTATCAGGCTCGGCGGGAACCTGAGCACAAGTCTCTTAGCCAAAGCAGCTGCAGATGTCACCGTCTTCTCAGAGCAATAACCAGTAACTTTCTTGGCTCAAAGCTGTGAGGCCTTGCCTTCGGAACAAGTCCTGTGCGAGGCCGGAGTGCAGCACCGTTCCAAAACATCAATGTTCGCACCTCTCGGCAGATTTGCATCGAGCGCCGCAGTTTCTCCGGAGGATTCCGGGCCAAAGAACGAGGCCAGCTCCTCTTCTGGTTCACTCTGTGTGCATGCTCTGCGTAGGCGTGATTGCGCGTGTCTTGAAATACATGAATCCTTGAAGTGCTTGGCTTCGCCTCTTCGAAGAGTCCCTGTGCCTTGAGTTCTGGTCTCGCCACGGCGCCACCAAGCAGGCTCTTTGGAACCATGGCCCCGGCAGCACTGAAGTCTAACCAGTCTTCCTGCGAGAGCCAAGCTACAACAGCTACAAGCTCTCTGGCATGCTCTGCAGTGCTCCGCAGCCTGCCTCCAGCGCATCCTCCTTGGCTGCAACATGCTGCAACTCTTTCGCGGGCATGTCCAGTGCATGTAAGCACTAGTTTTCTGCCAGGTAGCCCTGCGGTTGCCTGTAGACCATTGTGCACGGAAGAGCGCTCGCCAAGGTAGCCGATCGTCGGCTGAAGCCTTGAGACTAAGAGTTCTGGCTGGCTCGAAGCTCCATACTTTTGCCGACCTTCTTTCGCCTCGCCATCCGAGGCCAAGTTGACGCAAAGTATGCCTCTCACGACAGGTTAGCAGGAGCTGCAACTTCTTCAGAGCTGTCAAGCCAAGATTTCAAGAGCCTGCCATAGCGTGTCTTCCATCTCCAGCGCTCGCCAGGAACGACAACTGCCAACAAAGCTCCAGCAAAGCTGCCCTAACAGCTCCAAACATGCATGCGCCGCAGGAGCGAATCAGCTACAAGCTCCGTCCACGGGAGGAAGCTCGCGATGCACAAACGGACCTGCGCCACACATCAGGAACTCTAAACCTCAACGAGCGGGCATCCAGGACCTCCACAGACCACATTCCAGCGACCAACTCCTACGAGTACTTGTTTGATACAATAATAACAGAAAAACCAGGTTGGACCTGTTGCCATGTAAAAGAGACGTCGACTCACTTTGCAAAGCTTTGCGAAATCGCACCTGGGAGGCTTCTCTCTCAGTTTTGGCCCGTTTGGCCTCGCCTGTCGAAGCTGCTCAAGAATTTCAAATCTGCCGTGATGCCAAGACGCCGTACCGTTCCCATCAGCGCACATCTCCTGCCAAACTGTCCGCTCCTCGTGAAGCTTTCGCTGCATGCTTGAACAGCCCATCCTGAACGGCCTTCATGCCCGAAAGCAGGATGCGGAGCCATGCGAAGATTTGCTGAGAATTGTCTCGGCTTTTTGTGCAGGCTGTTGAACCTTGCTTCAAGAACCATGGCACTTTCTTGCTTCAAGAAACTCATGGAATCTTCACAGAAATTGGCTGCGATCCTCAGCAAGATCTCGGAACGACTTGTCGAAGAAGTAACGCCCTGAACATGCTTACCATCCTGGCTTCCCTTCTGCGGGGTCTTCCCTTTTCCATCCTTGGGCGCTCTCCCAGGGGCGGCTCACTTCACGAAGAACAGATGGGTGCCATCATTTCGCATCTCAGCTTTCATCACTTGTTTTCACGCAACTCTGTGATTGTGTTCTCAGACTTTGACCCCAAACTCTGCTCCTCCAGCTGCATTAACAAAGACCTTCGTACTGCGAAACCAAATTGAAAAGCTTGCTCTGAAATGCTACACCCTGAGAGCCCCCACATGCTTTCGGGCTTAATCCTACTAATGTTTCACGTCCGCAGCCTCTGTGATGCCTGCGTTTTGAAGGCGATGCCTGGATGAAAATCAAGCAGCACGAACAGTTGAATGACAGTTGCACAGCTGCTACTGCAGCAGCCTGACTTGTCCGTATTTCCAGGAATGAGCTGAACCGTCCAAGAGAATGCTGCACAACCTGAGGCATACGGCTCTGTATCCAAATGTGCCAACAAGTGACCTCCGAGAGCCTGGCAAATCATTTATTGTCTGGTGGGTCACTAAAACGATTGTGTGGCCTTGCTCCCCACCTTTGCATGCTATGTGAATTCTTTTCTCCATGTTTCTGCAATGATTGTGTCAACAGCATTACATGCTAATGGCCCAGGACAACTTTGCAAGCAGGCTTTGTGGCTTTGAAGGCTGCGCGGCTCGACGTGCAAAGCTTCTCTTGTTCCATTTTTTTGGGGTCCAAGTTGCATCCCTGACTTCATTCCCACTCATTTAGAATCTTAACATGACCACCTACCTTCCGATGACAAGAGCTGACCTCTTGATCTTGCGGTGGCGACAAGCCACTTGACCTGCAGAAGCACGTGTCCACATGTGTCCGATGTATGGTGCGTGCACAGTGTATAGCGCATTTTGGGCTCGTGCAAGTCGTTGCCCTCGGGCTCGACATTCTGGCTCCGTCTCCTGCCAGATCTCATGTTTTCACCTTTGATGAGCACTGATGACGGTAAGCTTCCTTGCAAACCCGGTCTCCTTGTCGTTGCATCCTTGATAGTCCCAGAAGCCCTCCCAGCTGAATCCCACTGGCCTTGTCCGGTGTGTGAATGAAAATACACCTGGAGTAAAATAGTGCGGCTCATGCAATTAATCTGGTTCACAGCATCATTAGCATCATTGGGGGTCTATTTCTCCTTCTCCAGGATTCTAGGCACTGCCATGACATTTTCTATTGTTGCGACTAGTACTGCAGCTGCTACTACTTTTCCTTCCTAACCCTTTTGCTCTTACCCTTGCGGGCTGTTGCCGTAAGTTGTTGCTCTTGCTGGTCTGGCTGGCTCTGGCTGTTTATCACGCCGGCCAACGTGCCAGGCCTAAAATCCCGCCCCTGCCGCCATTGTCCAGGGTGGACCCCGTATCCGGGGTTGCGCCAACTATGCGAAAGGCCAGTCCTGGGCCCGAGGGGTACAGGGGGCAGGCGGAAGATGAAGAGATGAAACCTCGATGATGCCATGATGCAGGTGCGGGGAGCCATGATCATCTTGCTGTCATACAGGCGGGCCTAAACTCTGTTCAGGGTGGACCCCGTGCGTAGTGTTTTACCGCTACCAGGTCCTGATGATGCTGGCCAGGGGGGCTGGTATGTATCCCCCCTTGAACAGGGCCATATGGGGCCTGTAGGGCTTATAGGCTCATTCATTTGAGTGGGATCTGTACATCTCACTAGAGGGCTTTATATAGATATTTCCTGTTCTTGGTAATCCCATTTGTTACAATGCGGGTGCCTTCTCCATAGTTTTAGTATCCAAAAAATCTGAAATTTGGTCTTTTTGTGCGTGAGAATCGAACCATGCCAATACTTCCGGCATTTTCTTTTCCTCAATAGAATCACACTTGTAATTTTCCACTGGCTTCGGAGAGATACTATATGTGCTTGAATTTTAACAAAGACGTCTCAAGTTCTTGGCCCTCCATGTTCCCTAATAAAACCTAACTAAATAGGTCCAGGCTTTGCAAGATGGTCTGATTCTGGACTCCTCACATTCTCTTGCAGAAGTCCTCTATTGAATATGTTTCGCATTGAGAGAAGAAGAAGCACCAACTCGCAAGCGCAGCCTCATTTCCCATTTTTTGATCGGATCAGCATATTCAGAAGTTGAAGACTCGGTCTGCCATAATGCCAGTTGGTCGAAAAGTGCCACGGGCACTTAGCATGTGGAAGGTTCAGGGAGGGAGGGTGGGACGAAAACTTCTCTCCATCAAGATGGTGAATGCTGAGCGATTAACTGCGACATGAAGTTAGGTGCTTCAAGCTGCATTAAGGCCCTTCACCAACCATCCATTCTTACATGCAATGCAAGAAGTACCAACTCGGCTCATTTCCCATCTTTTTCTCAGATCAGCATATTCAGCAGGTGAAGACTCGGTCTGCCATAATGGCAGTTGCTCGGAAAGTGCCACAAGCACTTAGCATGTGGTGGACAAGGACTCATCTCCTTAGCATCAAGAGATGTTGAAGTAAATCCCTTGCACCCAAGGCTTCACATCCACGAGTCACCCACTGTTTCTGGATAGCTGCACAGAAGTGTCTGCAAGGCTGGCCGAGAACCTTCGACTGGGAAGGCGAACTCTCGGACTTGCCAAGGCTGTTGAAGAGTCCAGCGGCAAGCAAGGCCAAATCTTGATAAGCCATCACTAGGATTTGACTCAGAGTCAACCCACTCGAAGAAAGCCCTGAAGGAAAGATTGAAGCGCAAGATAGCCGCATAATGAGCTATCTCACGCACGTCTCCTTCCTTACTAGATCCCGAAATTGCTGCGGATACGGCACCTTGGTTATCGATGAACCACAAGGCATCCATATTCCTCAACAATTGGGGATACAGCAGTGGCAGAATCAGCACCGTTAGCGTCTCTCCTGGAAAGATTTGTTGCTTACGTGGCTTCCAATCATGAATGACATTCGGTGGCACTAGACACGTCCCTGCAAGTGCTTGGTTACAAGTTGTGAAGATGACCCAGACTAATCGCAAGTCCTCATTAAGCATGCATCAGTGTAGATGCGAAGGAAAGGTGGCGCATGGTGGTCCAAGGCTATGAGCTTGGGCTGAGCTGTGACAACCATGCGCCTGAGACATTGCAGGACAACGCGGTCCTCTGAAGTCAGAGGCGAAAGGCCCTCCATTTGAACTTGACGAAGCAAGGGGCCTGCATATCTAGCGGCGTTACCGGCGCAAGCCGAGAAAAGCCACTGCACGTCACCGCGGAGCTTGTTGGCTTCGTCACCGAGGCAAAACACCGGCAACAAGAACTTCATCAAGCTTTGACGACACCTTGTGCTTGGTGGACTGCTTAGCCTGCATAAACATCACACATTCTTGGATGGCATCTCCTGTGTGCAAGGACACACCTAAGTACGGCCGATCAGGCGCCGGCGGGTAGCTCTTGGAAGGCTGCGGCGGTGCCCCCACACACGTAAGAACGGCAAGGACACCCTGCCTGGACACATCAGAGCATGCCAGCGCCTCAAGAGCAAGCTGGTCGTCACAGTAAGCTGAAGCCAAGGCTGAGCAGCATCTTCTTGCTATGGCAATGCCTAGGCAAGGGAACCTGTTGAACGCCACTACGGCAGCCTCAAGACCGTACGCTAAGCCCCACATATCGGTGAACCGCCACCCTTCCTTAGGAACGAAAACGGAGGACACCGACACTGCTAGATGTTCGGGCTTACCGGGCAACCCTCGGTATGCATCGGGCAGGTCCTCAGCACCTAACTGAAAATGCATTCAACTAGGGGCAGGCGAGCCTGGACAAACTGATTGAAGAACCTGACGATGCATGGCTGGCACGAAATCAACTGAGCTCGTCCATATGGTTCCGGAAAGAGATGCATGTGCGTTCTGATGCGTTGTTTGTGCATTATCAATCACGCGCATCTTGCCGTGCTGGTTGAGCACGAATCTTTCCAAGGGCCGCCATTTGCCTGGCCCGAAAAGATCATCAATTTCGGCTTTAATTTTCAACGGGGAACAGAACCCCTTTTGAATCTCTTTTAAGGTCACTTGGAGTGTCTCATCGCGCATCTTAGGAGGAGTTCACTGCGCAGCCACTCTTCCAAAGTAGGAGGGGCATCTTTGCCTGGAACGGCTCGGAAGACTCTTGAGGGTTCAATCTCACCTGGACCAGCGAAAAAGCCAAGTTTCTATCGAGGAGAGAGACCATGCGTGAGATGAAGGATGGACTTTTGGTGGATGCTACGCGTTGAGAACTTTCCACTCTAAAAGGCCAAAACGCATCTCCCAGCGGCTGCACTTCTCTACGGATGGATCGAAGCACGTCTCTCTGACGTTGCGCAAGGCATGGCAGGCGCTCTTGCCACGCGATCGCCTGCAGAGAGAATTCCAGGTCAGTCTCTGGCCACGGCTGTGCCAACATGGCACTCTGGGCCACGTGCTTCTCTTTACCGAGCCCTGGAGGTAAAAGAAAATCGTAGGATGGGTAACGTTGACCCGTGAGACTAGTGAAAACTTTGGCCCTGGACCTACGATCCAGGGGGGTTGGGCCCAGCTCGTGGCACGCGTCTCTCTGCCCCAAGCATAGAGGCATAGACAAAATGCAGCTGCACGAAGGCGAGGTCGCAGAAGGAAAGGCGACGTTTGACCTCATGCCACGCGGAATGAGGTACCTGCAAGTTCTGGAACTGCGCTTGCATATCTGCTGTCAGGCTTTCTGCGTGTAACAGGTCGGGAAAAGCTGCGAGCTTTTGCGGAACCCAAACCGTGTCAAGAATGTGAGAACGCAAGTCAGCATCGGGTTGGATGGCGCCAGGCTGCACTTTGGCTTCGCAAGGACATGGGATCATAGCCAAAATGGCCACAACCGTAAAGATGTGGAAGCCATTTCCCAAGAGGCTGCTCTGTACCTGCACTCTTCTGGCGGGATCCCTCTCTTTTTTTGTTGCAAGCAGGGAGGGAGGGACCCCGAGCATTTGGGCTCGCTCTTCCCGGTATGGCTGCCGCCACTCCTGTTGTTTCCATACTAACAACCTTCACGGTAAGCACTCTAAGGAAAACGCCTGATGTCCTGTAGGAATCTATCCATGACTTCGGGAGGCTCAGACGCTGAGGCATCAACGGGGTGATAAACTTCCCTCGCATCACCGCTTGTGGGGTGCTTGGAGCCCACAAACCGTAGTTCGGGGATACTACCCTCCTTCTGGACCCATCCAGTCTGTGGGCGGTACAGCGGTTGCTGGGGAAAGCGACCTATGTGGGGAACAGAGCAAATTTAGGCGGTTGCGCTTAGACCAGCCAAGAATCCCCTTCCGATGTTTAATCAGGCTGCTACGCGGCTGGCATGGCGCGCCGCCGCCCATGATGACGCCTCTCACGAGCCTCTTCTGCAGGAAAGGGATGATCGAGAGTATGGATGTTCACATCTTCGACGCGGGTCACGCGCGCGATGCTGGGCATACTACGGGACGCGCACTCCCTCGCCTGGGCATCGGATTCTGCCGACAAGGCAGAGAAAGAGGCTCCGAGTCCGAGGCCACGTTGAAGAGCTGCGGGAGGTCGCCGCTGCCGCGCCAGGTCACTGGCCTAGCAGCCTGCAGTTTTTGTGATATATCACGGCGGCTATCCGAGGCAGGCCCTGAGCAAGGAGAAGGGGCAAACCCAAGCGGGTCAGGACCTTGCGAAACGCTACGAACCGAGATAACCTGGCCGAAGCCTACCATTCGGCACGCAAGCAGGCAGCAGATTGGCTGACGAGGGGTCTGCAGTGGCAGAATTTTTCTGACGACGGAAGTGGAGAACCCAAGTCCAGCAACTGCATGTGAAGATGTTGAGGCATGAGCTCCCACCCAGCCAGTGTACGCAGTGACGCACCAAAGTTTGCCCGTGAATGGCATTGTTGCACGCGCATTGGTGGGATGAAAAAGAATGGGCTAAGCGCAATCATCTGCGTTCTTCGGATGCGGCGGACGCGCAGTTGCAGCAAGCTAGCAAGCTCATGGGCAACTGTGTGTCTTTTCTGACTTCATTTAAGTCCCTCGCAGGCCTGTCAATGGGTGCTTGCAAAAGGAGAAAAAGGAAATGCCTTTACATGGAATAACTGCCTAACACAGTATATAAGCACCAGGGGGTAGGACATAGCTGTGTTGCGTAAAAATGCGCAGCAGCCCGTCAAGTGCTTCACCTGTGGCCACGCAAGAGGAACCAAGGGGAGCGAAATGTATATTCGACTGAGGCGTGACTAGACTCGAAAGCCTAATGTACTCCCCAACCCTCCCTGTGACACCGTTTACAGAAGTGCTCTCATGCTCATCTGCGCAGCTTGACAGGATCCGACCATTGCGCCGGCGGTGACAAGAAGGATATCACACGAGTTGAAAACAATACCTCGTGGCATGACCTGGCATATCTTTGACTCTCCGTGCATTGCACGCAATGATGCGGACACATCCTGCAGGTACAAGCGTGGGGTAATCACTCAGCATCCTATACGCTGCGCACATTACACGTGATGATGGTTGGCACTCATACACCTACAAGAGTCTGTTACAAGAGCGTTTAATGCACAGATGTGTGAGCTGCAGTCACACAGTTGTCCTGCGGCGGTGACAAGTGGCAAACTGTGATGCTCCTGATACCCCCTGGACTGGCGCATCCTCTCTTAGATGATCGCGGCTACAGACCTCTGGCCTCCAACAGCCTGGCCGTAGGCGACTTCAGCATGCTACGGCAGCATTTCTGACACGCAGACCCGTCTAAAGGCGGAAGCCCTTCACCTGACCGACTAGGGTCCTGCGGGAAAGCAACGCTACTGCAGTATGAGATCATGCGCTCACTCACGTCCTTGGGCTGTACAATGTGAAATCTCGCCCACTGCTAGAACCAGGCACAGTCTGCTACCTCGTCCAGGGAGGCACGTCCTCCTCAGTTGCGCTTTGCGCTGAACTAGACGAGGATGTCGCCCCAGGAGACTGCGGTACTGGACTCTGGCAGGCCAGCGGTTCAGCTGAGTCCGCCAAAACCGCGTAGCGCATGGACATAATTCTGGGCCTTTTGACCCCACTCGTCTACTGCACCAGGAACCTATGGCCTGAAGCGCCACCTCACTCAAGCCCAACGCGGCGCCTCCCGCAAGAAACCGGCGCAACCTGTCGTATCCCACCTGCGCTCCTGTGGCTGCAACCCAAAGAACTCAAGGAATCTAGTGGGGCTGAGCTTCGGCCAATGTCCAGGGGAGTGGCCTCGACTACTTGCCACAGATCCTCCGCCCCCAGGCAAGGGCGGGGCATCAAGAAGTTTGCTCCTGCCTGTTTTTGGGCGAGCACAATGGGCCGAATCTCCTCCAACAGATTGAACCCTTCGAATTGAACTGTGGCAAGGCCCGCTCGTAAGGTGGCCTTACACCTTGTTTTCTTGACTTGCCCATGGAGCATCGAAATTCAAGCCATGTCATGCAGCAGTATCGACCTTTGCAGGTGTCGGAACCTCACACAGACCACTGCCGCCATGATGCAGAAGGAAGCCATAACCCTAGGGCAGCCCGTAAGCGCTAATGCACAGATCAGCATGTTAGCGAAATGGCAAGGATGTAGCTCCTCACGCTGTCTCTGAACATGGCCAGGCGCATGCATCGATAAGGTCTAACCATGAAGTGATCGACTTCAAAAGGTACGGCCAGATTAACTCGTAGCAATTGGAACATATGGTAAAGGGACGCCGCCGCGGTTGGACCCCCGAGGCTAACCTCCTTGAGGAATGACGCCAGTTCACGTGGACGTGGCATACCCACATCAATTCCCCTGGGGGTTGCAAATCGAATCCATTTGCGGAGGCACGCAGTCGTGCTGCTAATGTGATTCTCTGACAGCCGCATGGCACATGCTGACACGACCTGTGTAGCCTCCCACACGATCTGCTCATCCGCGACGTCCAGATTGACGAAGCCAATCTCTGCATGATCCCATATGTGCTGGTAAAGCACCACAAACCGGCCTATGCATTTGCGCCGCATCCCCTCGGAAGCTTGCGTCGAAGCAGAGCTAGCCACCAAGCGTGGCTCCACCTTGGCAGCAGATATGCGCTGCGGGATGAGCACCGTTCTAGAAGTTCCTGCAGCTGCACCATGTTGAGAACTCGAAGGCCGCTGCATTCCTCTGGCCGGCAGAATGCTCCTCCTATCGAGCTGCACCTCACTAGAAGTAACAGCTGCGGATGATTCAGCTAGATGTTGCCACCAATTGGCTGGCCCCCGCAAAATCATGTGGCCTGACCACTGCATAATCTTTAAAGAGGTCGGCACTGTCTCGCCACATAAATGCCACGTCAATCACTGATCTGCAGCCCGTCGAAGAGAGCCATGCACTGGTTTCCGGCCCCAGGAGGGTGGCAAAATCTGCCTCGAAGCCATGACTCAGCATAGGAGACAAGAATTTCTCTCCATGAAGATGGTGAATGCTGAGCCATTGGCTGCGACATGAAGGTAGGTGCTTCAAGCTGCATGAAGTCACCAACCTTCCATTCTTACCTGCAATGCAAGCCGCAATTCCGGAGCTTCTTGTCTGTGTACACAAACCCTTACTTACTGCATTGACGTTGAATGAACCCGCAAAAATTGTGCTTCAAAATTAAAACGAAGAATTCTCAAATCCAATGCTCTTGTTCTTCAGGACAGAGATCCCGTACTACATGCATTGCAAATTGTAGCCAAAAATTCTGAAATCCTGGGCTCCTGCTCGCAGTATTTTTTGTGTAGAAAACCCCATGCTACAGGTACCTCAGATTTACATAAAGAGCAGTTTGCGAGTCTTGGGCTTCTTCTTTGTGTTACAGAATTCCTGTGTACTTGTGTCTCAAATTCCAAGCGGCATTCAAGATTATTCCGACTATTGCATGTATCAGAGACCAAGAGAATATTGGTGAGAAAAGGCTTACAAAGTAAAAAAGAAGCCCACGACTTGAGAATTCATGTTTGAAATTTAAAGCATATTTTGTAAGGGACTCATACACGTAAAAATGAAGAAAACAGGATCTCTGGAGTGCGACAACTATGTAAGGCCCAGAACACCCAACAACTCACTAATTCGGCTACCCGTAGAACCAAACCTCTGCTCCTAGGGACGGAATAGCGGTCTCTTCTCCACAATACAAGTCAAAAGAGACACAATTGAAGTGAGAGAAGTGAAAGCTCCATTTCCTTATGACTTGGTTGCCAACGCAAACTCTTTCTTCTGAGATTCAAGTACTGGTCACTCGGGTAAGGGGAATGAGTGCTTGGCCCAATGGCCCTCCCAAGGAAACTTGTGAGCTCGGAAATCATAAGCTTTCACAATTGAGGACTTAGGACTACACGGGCCCAAAAAACAATCCCAAAATCCAACTTCCACCATGTCTACACAGTGCACCAGCGCTGATTGTTGGTGGGCACCACCTAACTCATCACGTATGCAACATGATCCACTCAGATCCTGAGCCAGACACACCAAGCTCGGAAACTCTTTTGACAGCTCTTCGGAGCTTGATCCGAGAAAACCTTTGCCAGCCTCGTGCTCATGAAAAGCCAAATGACACGGACCATCTGCATCTGAATAATACCTTGTGGAGCTAAGCTCCTGGCACAACCGAACTCGTAGCTTCCGCCGTGACAGAACACGTTCTGCCAAGAACCAAATTCTCTTCAATAGGCTGAACCTACGTCAGCCTGAGGCTGCAGGATGTCGATGGCCGGCTGAATTGTGTAAATGCACCGCCTGTGCGGCAACAATGCGAGCAACAGATTTTTGTACGCAGCAAAAAGCTCGGCCAACCTCATTGGACTGGACCTTGCAAGCAAGCAACCAGGTGCATGTTTCAAGGCCTCACAGATGAGGGGCTGGGAGGGCTTGGCTTCTCCCACACTTGCGTGAAGTAATGATTCACCACGAGATACCTGCCTCAAAAGCTTCTGTGGATGCACACACGCGTGCTCCCCCACAGCATCCAAGCATCCGACACAAACGTGAGGTCTGAAGGCTTAACAGACCTCAAGCTGCGTCATCGCAGAAAATCCACAAAACACAGCTCAAACTGGCCTCAGCTCCTTCTGTAGCCTTTCAGCAAGAGCAGAAGCTTGCCGAAAGCCAAGCTCAGTCAAACCTGCAACTCATCCAAAAAGCCAGAAAGATGCAACACCGCACGTGGAAACCCAACAGGCCTGGATCTGCCGCAGCAGGACATCCCAATCTGAGGTGAAGATTTACCAAGAAGTTGTGAGTTATAAGGGCTGGCTGCATTCTGGTGCTGAAGTAGAGTTCAGACCAGTAGCTCGCGCATCTTGTTGGCACTTTGCGCATGGCGCGCCAAGATTAATCTGACCTGAACAGGCCCTCTGCTGGGGACAATGAACTGACAAACCAATTGTGTGTTGCATCAGCCACGTGCGATCAGCAAGTAACCTCTCACGGCGGGCTGCTGAGTCGGTTGCTTTCCAATCCTGGGCGCTCTATGATGACCCCATACCTATGAAAGCCAGGGCCCAACAACTCAAGAGGCAGAGAGAGATAGAGAAAGAGAGAGAGAGAGAGATGCAAACAAAGGGTTCGCCTCAAACCTTAAAATCAATACTACAAGTAGTTGATTTGAGCAAATCACTTCAAGCCCTATGCGGTTTCCCCCACCAAGGCTTAGCAGCCCAACAAGTCACCACCTCCATCATCATCTCCGTTGGAATTGATAAATTCAAGAACCACGAAACCTTGCGGGCAAAATACGAGAAACATGTAAACAAATTGAACAAGTCATATGCCAAACAATCTGCCCAAACTGACAAAGCGTCTTGGTCTAAGGACGGGAAGCGCGGCTGTGCTTTGCGCTCCCCTGACCCCTCCAGCGGAACCATATTGCTCCGGTCTGTGCTGCTCCTGGAGCCTTCGGAGGGCCAGCCGGCCCCATGTCAGAGAAAAGTGCCTTTTCTTCGTGTTATGGCCTCAGGGCTGTGATTCCTTGCTTGGTGTTGATCCAGGGCGCAGTACTTTTCTTCGTTCGATTCCTTTCATCACTCAGAGCAATGATTTCAGCATATGTCCTCAGTGGACGGATCGAGAGGCCTTCTGGAAAAAAGTAGTTTCTCACGTAGCTTTGAATTGTAGTTACCTGTTTGCACCTCAATTGCACTGTTCTCGATGTTCCTCCTGCGTTGCTGATGAGGTGTGAGGCTTGCAGGGCGAACGGGATCGCATCCTGAAGGTGGGACCGCCAGAAATGCTGCACGAGAGGAATGAGCTGAAAGCTCCTCGTCATCCCTTGTGGCAAAGTCATGTCTTGAGAATCCGGCAGACAAGACTGGCTTCACGCAAAGCTCCTGAACTGCTTGATAGCAAGTAACTCTCTGCAAACAACTGCGACGACAACTCTGAACTATTTGAACGCCAACAGAGCTCCATATGGCGCATCGTGTAGCTGGAAGGACTCCCTGCTTCAAGTGGTGTACAAGGAGACCTGATGCAGGATTTTTTTGGTAGAACTTGCGTAAGCATGGAGTGCTGCCATCGTAGCTTTGAGATGCTTCAAATGCTATGACCTGGGTAGCACACAGCTCCCCAGACGCAGAGCCTTAGGTGTGGCCCTTCGCTCCATGCATGTTGGCACTGAAGCAAACAGTTGCAGATCCGCGAAGTCTTTTTTCTACTTCAGTCTCACATGATCTTAACTGTACATTCCTGGTGCCCACTGGGTAGCGCCAAGTTCTGTTCGAGGCTGGCCTTATGGGCTTAAAGCTCCTGCCAGTTTGCCACATGCAAACAGCGGCCACTCGAACCTGCGTCCAACTTTAGGCCATGGGAAGTGTGAAAAAACATTACCAAATCAATTAAGAACAGCCCACTCGAGTACCACACCCCGGCCTAAGCTCATGAGCCCAAACAAGAACGCGTGAAGTCACATGCAAAGCTGATCTCTGGTCCATGTCTGTCCAGGCACTGTGTTCAGATCCAGTCCCAACCAGCCCTTTCTCCCAGATATCTTAGGTCTTCTGAAACATGGTTGGGAGAGCATCACAGCACCCTCCACAATGTGTACACTGGCCAAGTGGCGGAAGAAAAGAAATGATCAGCAACGCTCAGGGCTCCCCTCATTGAGCACATCCTCGCAAGGCTTCTCGTCTAAGCGCCTGCGGTCTTCACTCCAAAATTCAGGAGCCCCTGTGCATGACTGTGAGTCTGTAGCGGATCTGCAGCAAGAAGGAAGTTCGGGACGCAAATGCAACAAAACTGGCAAGGCACCTTCGTTTCAACTTGGCGTCCACCTCTGGCTTAGGAGTCCATCAGTGCCAAAAAATGCAATGATTGCCAGCCTCCAGCTCCAGCCTTTGGCAGGGTGCCTTGCGGCAGGTCATCGCCTCCGAACTGCAACTTGAGCGAGCAGTGATCTGAAGTGTCTGCGAATAGGCACCCTTGTCTCCCGACGAGCTGCCGCAGCCCTTGCCTTCAGCAGACTTGTGCCAAGGTCGGGTGATGAGGGAAAAACCTTCATCTATGAACTATTGAAGAACTCTCCTCTGGCCAGTATGAACACTACCTGCAAATGACCACAGACACAGAACCATAGGCCATAGGCAGCCTCACAATCACGAGAGGCTCACCTAAAACTCTAAGCATACAGCCACCTCTGCCAGCGCAGATGTCAGCAAGTCGGAAAACGGCAAAGCCTTCAAGATTACGAGTTTACTGAGCATGTAAGTAGCTGCTCGTTCAGGCAAACACATAGTCAGCCTGCTTCGCGTCACCTGCACATGTCTTCATATTGACTGCTCCAGCTCACCTGTCAAGCCATCCAGCCTTGGTGTCCACGATCATCCCCGGAGCCCGAGCTCCTGGCCAAGTTTTGATCTTCGTTGCTCTTCAGGAGACTGGATTCCACACCTTGTGCCCCTTGCACTGAAGCATCCAGGGTATCTCGCAGTTGATGCGTTATCGCCTGAGAATGTCTTCGCAAACTGCCTTTCACCCGCGCATTCACCAGCATCTAGCAGCTTGGCAATGCTTTTAGCATCTTTTTAGCAGCTTTGCGTTTGGAGCTGGGCCTGGAAGCTCTTTTCCATCCCTGTCCTGCACACTCCACGCAGTTCGAGGAAACACAGCTTCTCACGTGCGGAGTCTCATCCAAAGTTTGGTTGTACCAACTCACTTGTGATGGACAAGCCATCGCTGTGCGCCCTGAGAGCATGTAGGTCCTCTTGGTGCCAAAGCACTGGGAGCAGAAAACCCATCGCCACGCGGCCTCCGGCGATACTAACTGGACAGAGAAGAAAAACAAGGTGGCACGTCTGTTCGTGGACTCTGGGTTTTTTGACTAGGGAAAGTGGTTGGGGAAGTTGAAATCTGCAAAAACGTTGGGTTTTTGCAGATTTGTAGTTTAGAGGCTTATTTTGGGGAGGGGCTAAAACACTGAGACGGGTCAACATTTTGAGCGATTTTAAGGGTTTCGCTACAGCGAAAAGCACATTTTGAAAGTAGAAAAAAAAAACGAAACTTTCGGGAGGA